TTTAGAAAGCATTTTAATTCCACACACTTGTTTTCAAAAAGAAAAAAAAGCCAATACACTGTTTTAGTCATTAATGAATTTGAAATATCTTTGGTACGATATAAAATATTATCTGACCTTCCCCAAATAGTGAGACAGTTTTCCTATTTATTGAATAATATTAGTTTTACCCTCTGATTTAAAGTGCTGTCTAAACAATCTACTAAATTCCACATGGACCTGGGTCTGTTTCAGAAGTTTCTGTCCTGCTGTATTGATCTGCCAGTTCTAGCACTAGTGCTGTATTGTGGTAGAGTTCTGGGTATTGGGCGAGTGTATCACCCTAGGTGGTGTTAGCTGGTGTCCAGTTGGCCCCATCCACAAAAGGACTGGACCACAGTGATCTATAGGGTACCATTGGCTGCTTTGTTTAGGCCTTTCCTCCCAGTTTGTCTTAGTCTGGTAGCTCTGTAGAGATCTGTTCAGCTTTGTAGCAGCACCCAAGCTTCCGTTGCCAGGCTGGTGGTGGCTGCACTTGTGGTACATTGGTCAGGATTATAAATACCCTGGGCTCCAGCAAGGAAAACAAACATTCCACCACTGAATTGCTACTGCCCACCCAAGGCTCCCCCTTTTGCTTTTTTGTCCATATTTTTTCTAGTTTATTTTCCAGGTCATTTTCAGACAAACTTTAGAAGAGTTTTTAGAGTGAAGAGTATTACTTTGGATAGGTTACCTTTTATATTAATTCAAAAGAATATGTACCTTTGCATTGTTTTCATCTTTTTACCTAGGATTTTGGTGTAGATGTTGGTGTTAAGTGCGGTCGAAGCAATTCAGGCTTAGAGCCACCCTGTGCAGAACAGAGTGAAGCTCTGCCGGGTCCTGCTCCAGCCTCACCTTTGGTTAAGTTTAAGTCCATTGTGGCAGGCACGGTGCCCGTGCCGCTAGCTGAGGGTGTTCCTCTTTCTCACCGACCCTCTGCTTCACTAAGCATGATGTCCTTTCCCAGGGATTCATCTCTCTTGACATGTCCGAAGCATGGAAGACAAAGTCTTGCTCGCCTCCATTCTAAGGAGCATCTGGCTGTCCTTTGCCCAGCACAGCTGTATTTGTTCTTCTGGCAGTCCATGGTACCTTGCATAGTCTTTGTCAACAGCACAGTTCAACTGCACCAATTCTTCTCTGGTCTTCTTGATTCGTTATCTATATTTCACATGAGTTTATTGGAAAAGCGATGGCTCGGGTCAGGTGCACCTTAGTCCTCAAAGGGACATCTTTGCTTGTCAACACTTTCGAGAGATCTTCTTGTCCATATTTGCCCAATGCATCACATTGTTTGATTCCTTGACTCATGCTTCCCTAAGTGTTGAGGGTGGTTCAAGTAAAATGAAGTCTTTGACAACTTTAATCTTTTCTTCATTTATCACGATGTTGTCTGTTGGTCCGGTTGTGGGGATATTGGTTTTAGTTGCATTGGGTTTTAATTCTCAATAAAAGTTGCCATCTTTAATCTTCATCAGCAAGTGCCGCTAGTCCTCCTCACTTTCAGCAACCACCATTGGGTCATGTATTTATCAAGGTTGAGGGTTAGCATTCCTTCAAACCTGATACCGCATGTTTCTTCGTGTAGTTTCCTGTCTCGGATGATTTGCTCAACTTGTAGATTGGATAAGTATGATGAAAGGATTCAATTCTAACACACATCTTTCATGATTTGAAACCAGGCAGTAGCCCCTTGTTCTATTCAAACTACTGCTTCTTGGTCTATTAACTAACTCTGCATGAGCACAATTAAGTTCTCAAGAATTCCCATTCTTTGTAATGCCATCCGCAGTTTGTTATGACCCACACGTTTGATTGTCATTGCATAGTCCACACAGTACAAGTAAACATCTTCTTGATGTATATATCCATTTATAAATGTTTATCCTATACCCCTCTGAAGAATTTAAAGTTCCTACTCAATTCTTGTTAAGTTCTTAATGTTTAAATTGGATTGTTGATTATGTGAATGGGATTGGTTTTCATTATCTTTTAGTTTTAGTATTTCTGGTTATTATTTACCTGTAACAATAAGCAATATTTTGTGAGTGCTCACTGCATGTCACTCTTTGTATTAAGTACTCTTTTACTTAATTGGATATTCACCCCAACCAACCCAACTCTCTCACATGAAGACACCAAATCCCAAGCAAAGTACATACCTGCCCTAGGTTTTACAGCCAGTAAATGTTAGAGCTCAGACTTGGGTTCAAGTGTTCTGAGTCAACATTAAGCACTCTTTGAGTGACTGAAAGTACTGTTAGTTTGGTATCTGTGAATTTTATAATTGATCACCTTACTGCATTATCTTTTTTAAAAATCATTTTATTGAAGGCTCTTACAACTCATCACAATCCATACATCCATCCATTGTGTCAAGCACATTTGTATGTTTGTTGCCATCATCATTCTCAAAACATTTGCTTTCTATTTGAACCTTTGGTATCAGTGCCTCATTTTCCCCTACCGCCCTGCCCCCCTCCCTCATGAATCCTTGATAATTTATACACTGTTATTATTTTGTCATGTCTTACACTGTCCGACAACTCCCTTCACCCACTTATCTGTTGCCTGTTCTCCAGGGAGGGGGTTATATGTCGATCCTTGTAATCGGTTCCCCTTTTCTCCCTCACCTTCCCATCACCTTCCCAGTATTGCCACTCTTACCACTGGTCCTGAAGGGTTCATGCATTATCTTTTTATATCTATTAATGTTTTAGTTAATTCTCTTTAGTTTTCCAACTAGATCATCATAAAAACAAATAATGGAAATTTTATTTTCCTTTTCCTAGTTTTCCTTCCTCTGTTTAATTGTACAATATCCATTTCTTAGAATGCTTGCTTGTTTGTTTGTTTTTGAATTGGGTGAAAGTTTACAGAGAAGATCAGTTTTTCATTCAACAATTCAAGCACATATTGTTGTATCTCATTGAATGCAGTCGCTACAATGAAACATCTCTTAGCCTACTTCCTCCATGCTTTTTCTATGTTCACTCCTCCTTCATCATTAACCCTACTATGTCCTTGAGCAAAGGCTGCCTTTTGATCTCAAATGGCTAATTACTCTTACATGTGCATACCTCATCAGGATTATTGTTCCCCTTACAGACCCAATTATTGCTTGGCTGAAAAGTGAGCGAGGTGGGTAAGTTCATTTCTAGACCTGATGGGTAACTAAAGACGATAGCTCTACCAGTCTCTATCCAACTAGCAAGTCTGATCTTTTAATGTTTTAGTGTACCACATTTTTCTTGTTCTATTTAAGACCTTCTGTTCTTATCTCTTTAAGAGTGTTGTTAGTGCATACACCTGTTTAAATGTCATTTTAAGGCCTACAGACTCTTTAAATGTGTAAAGGAAGGCATTATCTTTAAATCCTCTGTATGTTTAGTAAGATAGGATATGATAAGATTAGAAATACAACATAGACTTTAATTCTATAATATCGAGTATTCTAGATTAGAAGTTGTTCTCTTTTTTATTAAATCAATTTATTTGGGCTCATACAATTCATCACAATACATAGATCAATTGTGTAAAGCACATCTATACATTTGTTGCCCTCATTATTCCCAA